CCTCTGGCCAAGCTTACAGTGACTGAAGGGATGCCTGAACTACAGTGAAAAGAGTAAAACATCTTATATTATATAAGAGAGGAGACAAGTGTTTCCACAGACGACATCTCAAACAGAAGACCGGCGTCTCAATGGGAGGAAACAGCAATACTGTACTTCCCCAGGCAATACCCTTGTTAACTTTTGAAAATGGTTTAGTTGGAAACAGTCACAGAGAAATGATCATTGTCTTGTTTTGAATGTGTCCTGGGAGAAGAACAATAGTAAAAAGTGTAGGTATGTTGTTAGAAAGCTGGAGTGATTTCACCCGCTCGTCCAGAGAAGCTACAGGAGCGTCACGTGTGTTTTCATGTCTCGCGTTACATAAACTCTCTGGAAGTGTTCGGATCAGACATCATCACTGGCTATAGCAAACAGTGAAGCATGCAGGATATGTTTCATACTCGGACATTATAATCACCAACCAAAATTACAGAAGCTACCACTTGTGCAAGACATAATTTCAATTATTTTTTAAATAAATCATATAAAATCACATAAATTATTTTCAAACTGACCAAAGTATTTAAAGGGATTATGAAGGTTATACTAAAAACCTACATTTTAACATTAGACATTAAATATTGATGCTAAATCCACTATTGTTTTAATATAGAATTGTTCTAGTATTTAATGCAATAATGCAATTACATCAGAAGTAACTGTAATTATATTATAGAAAAAGAGTAATCCATTACTTGACCTTTTCAAAGGGAAAGACTGCAAATATTATTTAAATGACCTGAGCTAAAATGCATGAACTAACAATGAACAGTTGTATTTAATAAATACTGTAACAAATGCATTGCACATTGTTAATAGTTAATGCATTAACTAATGGATCCTTACTGTAAAGTGTTACCACAAACTTGTTATGGCTCTATTGCAATATTTCTTCAATCTGCATGTCCTTTGATGTTTGCCCTGTCAAAGATGGCTGTTTACGGTCGCTCAACTAATCTCTGAGCAAACGGTGCACACAGAGTCAGCCTTTATTACACTACTAAATCCTCTTTCTGCCAAAAAACTAAAAAAAAGATGATTTTCAGCAAAACCAGTTCTCTGGCTGTCAGTCATTAGTGTTTCCCTTTGCTTTAGTGCATGTTGGAGTGGAAACTACAGAAAGCAACTGATTAAAATGGATCTTACTGTAAATTTGTCATCGCCGCAAACTGCAGATCATTCTCTTACAGCAAAAGGAAGATTTCCGGATAAGACACAAACACCTGGAGCAAAGCATGGCGAACACACACACACACCTCTCTCCGCGGTGCAGCATGCAGAACCCATGGCCAAACGCGTCCCAGTCTCTACAGAGTCCCATCACAGGGCGCGCGAGGAGCCGGCGGGTCCATGCGGGGCGAACGCGGGCCGTGAAGCTGAAGATGATGAAGAGGACGGAGATGAAGAGCTCATAATCCCTCAGCTGATGCTGAATCTGGTGCCACTTGCGGCTTTTTTCATTTAGTCTGCAGGACAGCTGTGTGCCGCTCCGGGAAACAATCACGGATTATGCCTCCTCAGATATTTATTTCTGTTCCTTTTGATTGATTTATTTATGTGAACGGCTCCGGCATAATCCAGCTCTCACTGAACATTGTGTTTTTGTTGCTTGGACTTAAAAACACAATACTCTTTAAGTCAAGTCAACATATAGGGCAGTATTGCCTGTTTTTTTTGTTCTCCTTTGGAAAAGACCAGCCCTCTTTGTAGAGTCCATATTTACAGATATTACAAATATAAAACACTGACACTTTACAGTAAGGTCCCATTAGTTAACATTAATACATTAACTAACAATAACAATACATGTGATACAGTGTGTATTACTCTAAACACAGCTGTTAGTTCATGTCAGCTCAGGTCCATTTAATGTTAACAGATTGACTCTTGTATTAGTATTAGTAAATGCTGAAATTAACATTAACTAAGATTAATAAAAGCTTTAGACATATTGTTCATTGTTAGTTCATGTTAACTAATAAACGAATGCCAACAAATGGAACCTTATTGTAAAGTGTGACCTAAAAACAATAGTGGGCAGATACAGAGTGAAAACACAATAACATACACTCTTAAAAATTAAGGTTTTCGGAGCGATACCATAAAAGAAACATTTATTCTTAGTATGTTGAGCATTTTAATAATCTAAAGGGACTTTAGTGGTTCTGTGGATGTGCAAGATTCTTCATGGAGCCATCGATTCCAATAAAGAACCTCGTACTGAATCATATTTCATGAAGAAATGCACACTTTGGACATAAAGTATATATAGGCCACTGAACATCTCATGTTTGTGTTCAACATCATCCACTTAGAAAACAACAGAGCAATTGCAGAGGAAAATATCTCAGTGCAGCTTTGGCTGGTCATCAGTCTTAATCCTGTGGTTCTTGGGATTAGTCCAGTCGCTTCTTTTACATTAAGACATGCCCTGTTCGCTACAGCACGTATATCTACAGCACATACACTCACCTAAAGGATTATTAGGAACTAGGGCTGTCACGATGTTAGATTTTTCACACCACGGTTATTGTGGCCAAAATAATTCACGATATCGATATATTGCGATATCTATAGAAACCTTGGGGGGAAAAATGTAAAATCAGTCAAATTAATTTTTACTTTATTTAATTTTTCTTTTTTTTTGCATTTTTACTTCTTGCGTTCTTATCTTTGAATGCGCATTTTTGTGAAGTAAGACAAGCATGTGAAGTATATCTGGTTTCAAACTGGAGCGAAACACTGTCTGAATGTTTCCTGAAGAACTGAAAAGCTCTTAAACCTATTGTTGCGCCGGTGCAAGTCATGCAGATTTGAACAAAACAAATCAAGTGCAAATACAAAAATACAAAAATAAGACGAGTAAAGAAAACGGGGTACTTAATAATCACCCTTTATTTAAACATATGAAAACAATAACCCGCTGTTAACAGGTTAATGTCACATTTCCCATTCCATGACTAGTAAAATAATCGCAATTTACTCTCTGTAAAATAGCGTAATCCGCAGGGTGATGGACACGGAGATGGGTAAAAAGGTTGGTGGCTACACATTCTGCAGATTGGGCTTAAGGGGGTCGCACACCGGACGAGAAGACGTGCACTTTCTCAGTTGATGGCCAGCAATATTGTTATGTTTAAGGACATTATGAAATTAAGATCATGTCTGTACTATGTTATGATTGTACTGTACAATTAAATACAATCGTTGCTAAGTCTGCAGTCTGAACACTTTACCTCAGTCAGAGCGCATCCGTTAACTGAATGATTTGAGAATCTCACCTGAAAATCCGAGCCATTGCTGGGCGTCGCGGACAGACGCCGAATGGTGCCGGTGGTGTGTGTAAACTCCTAGAAAATAATGTGTTCGATTTTTAAAGAATTCTCTGCGCTTCTCGTCCGGTGTGCGACCCCCTTTAAAGTGCTGTTTTCTTTGAAGCCGAAGAACTCCCATACCAGAGTGGCTGCGCGGGCTCATTAGATAGATGTCAGCGGGTGGAATACTGCCACCTCAACTGGCGCTGGAGTATACGTGTCATGTTATCATAAAAGTCCTACTCATTATAAACATCGTGGTTATCGCCAATACCGGTATATTGCCACACTCTAAATTAACACGATGTCGATATTTCAAGCTTTGAATATCACGATTATCGTCAATTCCGGTATATTGCGACACCCCTATTAGGAACACCATACTAATACTGTGTTTGACCCCCTTTCGCCTTCAGAACTGCCTTAATTCTACGTGGCATTGATTCAACAAGGTGCTGAAAGCATTCTTTAGAAATGTTGGCCCATATTGATAGGATAGCATCTTGCAGTTGATGGAGATTTGTGGGATGCACATCCAGGGCACGAAGCTCCCGTTCCACCACATCCCTAATATGCTCTATTGGGTTGAGATCTGGTGACTGTGGGGGCCATTTTAGTACAGTGAACTCATTGTCATGTTCAAGAAACCAATTTGAAATGATTCGAGCTTTGTGACATGGTGCATTATCCTGCTGGAAGTAGCCATCAGAGGATGGGTACATGGTGGCCATAAAGGGATGGACATGGTCAGAAACAATGCTCAGGTAGGCCGTGGCATTTAAACGATGCCCAATTGGCACTAAGGGGCCTAAGTGTGCCAAGAAAACATCCCCCACACCATTACACCACCACCACCAGCCTGCACAGTGGTAACAAGGCATGATGGATCCATGTTCTCATTCTGTTTACACCAAATTCTGACTCTACCGTCTGAATGTCTCAACAGAAATCGAGACTCATCAGACCAGGCAACATTTTTCCAGTCTTCAACTGTCCAAATTTGGTGAGCTCTTGCAAATTGTAGCCTCTTTTTCCTATTTGTAGTGGAGATGAGTGGTACCCGGTGGGGTCTTCTGCTGTTGTAGCCCATCCGCCTCAAGGTTGTGCGTGTTGTGGCTTCACAAATGCTTTGCTGGATACCTCGGTTGTAACGAGTGGTTATTTCAGTCAAAGTTGCTCTTCTATCAGCTTGAATCAGTCGGCCCATTCTCCTCTGACCTCTAGCATCAACAAGGCATTTTCGCCCACAGGACTGCCGCATACTGGATGTTTTTCCCTTTTCACACCATTCTTTGTAAACCCTAGAAATGGTTGTGCGTGAAAATCCCAGTAACTGAGCAGATTGTGAAATACTCAGACCGGCCCGTCTGGCACCAACAACCATGCCACGCTCAAAATGGCTTAAATCACCTTTCTTTCCCATTCTGACATTCAGTTTGGAGTTCAGGAGATTGTCTTGACCAGGACCACACCCCTAAATGCATTGAAGCAACTGCCATGTGATTGGTTGATTAGATAATTGCATTAATGAGAAATTGAACAGGTGTTCCTAATAATCCTTTAGGTGAGTGTATATCATATAAACGTCTACAGAGCGTTTGATACGGCCTGTTACAGTCAGGACGATGCCATCGCTGCACTTACCCACATCACTTTCTCTGTGGTTCTTAATGAGCTCTGCCAGCTCGAAATTCCCAGAGATGATTGCCACCTGCAACACAAGCAAGGAGAAGCTGCTGTGATTCAGTTCATGTGATTTCATAAAGTTAAAGCATCTGAAATCCCAGCCGAATCTGCCCTGAAGTCACGCATGCTTGAGGCAATGTTCACATGTGAGTCCAAACTGCAGAAAATGCTGTTCTTCCTCAGTGTTTCTGTCTCGTTTTCCAGCACAAATATCTAAACATTCTTAAATCAAGATACATTTACTGGAGAAGCATCATGACTGAAGATATTAAAAATTAAGTGAGTTTGTGCTTAAAATAAGAACAAATATCTGCCAACGGGGTCAGAAAATAATCTTGTTTTCCTTTTGAATGCAGTTTATTTTCTGTCTCCACTGGCACAAGTTTGTTCTTGTTTTAGGCACAAACTCACTTCATTTAGATGATTCTTTCTTTGGAAAACAAGACTTATTATCTTAAATCTTTTTGCTTCTCGAGTAAATGCATTATTTTATTTTTAATAGAAAACAAGACATAAATACTAAGCAAGAGAAAAATGCAGAATTTTTATGATGCTAGAATTGACACTTCATCTGTTAAAAAACAGGATCAATCACAACATGCCAATAGTAAAATAGAACGCATGTGTAGAGTTAAATATTCCACACCATACTAGAGAGTGCATCTAAATTGAGGCAATGAATGGAGAAAACACAGGAGGAAACACATCCGATGGTAACATCTGAGGATTTAACAGTGAATCTCTTTCTTGAGGTGATTATTGTCTTTCTTCTCAGTTGCTTCTTCTGAAGCGTCTCGTGCTGGTCTGAGTGAGTCTGCGCATGCGTGCTGCATCTGTAATCCCAAGAGGACTTCTAACAGGAGATTTGTACCTCACCATCTGTAGCCTTTAATCACAGTTCATCCACAAACTACTGTAAAACACACACACACACACACACACACACACACACACACACACACACACACACACACACACACACACACACACACACACACACACACACACACTCTCTCTCTCTCTCTCTCTCTCTCTCTCTCTCTCTCTCTCTCTCTCTCTCTCACACACACACACACACACACACACTCTCTCTCTCTCTCTCTCTCTCTCTCTCTCTCTCTCTCTCTCTCTCTCTCTCTCTCTCTCTCTCTCTCTCTCTCACACACACACACACACACACACACACACACACACACACTGAGGACCTAAAATCCTCAAACTTGACCTCTTGATCTCCAATCAATCCCTGATCTATGTCAACACATCAGAACATATTTACACACACACTGCCTTCCAAAAGCATTCAGAATATGTACTCTTGAATAATCTCTCATTCAGACTGATTCTGTTCACTGGGAGCGATGGAAATGAATGATGCAGAAGGACATGTACATGTTTTAGTCTTGTGTGTAAATGACCCCTGAAAGCTCCCATTCAGATCCTCCTCCATTTGAGTCACGCCCACATCTCAACATCCAATCAACAACTGATGCACAGAGCCAAGCCCCGCCCTACAGTTTTTCTTTTACGATAATCTTTTACGTCACAAAATGGAAGAAACTATCTGCTGCACCTTGTGGAGTCAGATCAATGAATTAGGCAACCTATTTTGCAACCTAAACCTAATTTTAACATCCAGAAGGCAGATTTCAGTGGAAAAGCTAAGCCTAAACAATCATTCAATGTAACCCTTTTTCCTTGAGAAGGCCGACACTTTGGGGAACGCCTCCAGAGTGACAGCGTCTGAAGCACATGTGAAATTAGTCCGATCCTGATTGTGTTGCATCATGACGTAACACATGATGGCGTATACGGAAGCTACAGAGGGACGCCAGCACACAACAGTGTCACATTCTGATTGGGTGAATCAAGTCATTCTCAGGGACTCAGGAGATGTGACAAAGGAACACCACAGCTGTGTCCCAATGTGAAGGCTGCATCCTCCGAAGGTCGCATTTGAAGGCCGATTGCGTCATCACAGCGCGATGAAGGCTGTCCCAATTCAATTCTGCGTCCTCCGAAGGCCGTATTCGAAGGCCGGTTGCGTCATTGCGGCGCGACGAAGGCTACCCTGATTCAAAAGCGACGCCAAATGCACCCTTCGTTTCCCCGTGAAGGAGAGGATACATAAATGGATCCTAAGCGGCCTATCCTAACCCATGAGTCATTGCGCTGGTGACGACAGCATTTTTTTATTTTTTTAAAAGGCCAGCGGAGAGTTGGTGGTGGACGGCAAATTAACATTTAAATGTAAAAATATTATGTTTTTATTTACTCAAATAGCTAGAGAAACCAGAGTTAAAAGCCACAAGTTTTTTTTTCTCTTATTCATCTTAACTCATTCGTCACCATTGCGTGGCTTCATTTGTCATGTGGAAACGCGAAAACGAAAAAATAAATTTCTGTATATTTCTTTATTATTCATCATTTTTTATTATTTTATGCTTTAAATGTGTAAATAAAAAAAAATTCATGGCTCTGGACATTGTTTATTTTTGTAATGGTATCTGAGTGTTTGCAAGGTTGATAGGCTACATTTAAACTATATACTTTTGTGTAGTTTAATGTAACAGTGCGTAGTGTTGCTGTCCTGTGAGGGAAAAAGTAGGCTACTTCACATTTGTACATGAATACTTAACGCAGTATGAAGTTCCTTACATTCCCCCACTGGTTATTTTGAAAATTAAAGTAACAAAATGTAGGTCTATTATCAGAATATTAACAAATTGTTACTAATTTACATGTCCGGTCCCCTCAGTTTTCTGATTGCTTAAAAAAAAAAAGACTTTAGGAGGCAAAATATTTTTTTAGTGATTATGTGAATTACACTGCGCAAACCAAAGTAGTAGGCTAATACCCACCGGATGAATAAGGGTTGGCTCTCAGTCTCCACAGTACATAAAATATTCATTTTATTTTATTTTATTTTTCGTGTTCGCATTTATGAGGAAAAAAACAATGTTACGGACGTGTTCTCCGTTACGGACGTGAGCGCTCTGAAAGCGGCAAAAGATACTTCAAAACTGTCACAGAGACATCAAACAGAAAGCACAAAACCTTTCTTTAACCTGAATTTCGTTTTGTATTAATTGTATCTTAATTTTAATCAATGTTTCATCAACCAATTACCTGGATTTAATAAATAAGAAGTAAATATAGCAGACGATAGATATGAAACGGAGGCGCCGGCGCGTGAACTGGAGCTCGTCTCATAAATGAACCGAAACTCAGCATATAAGGTAGCCTACTTGCCTCACATGTCTACTTTTAAACAGAACAATTCAAAACAAAAGAAAAAAGACTACAGACTGCTCTCTGCTTATGTAATCCTTATGAAATGTGCATTTCTCTCTGGCACGTTCACTACTGAAGATCGGGAGTCACTCAGCATCGTCAACTTCATCTTAGCCGACAAAGAAAACACTTGTTTATTAATAAACAATTACAATATCTCCTTGCTATATTTTACATATTCATAATCATACTTTTGCCGGTTCTTTGTGACAGCTTTTAGGTGCTTTATTGGCAGCGCCACCCTTACATGTCGCCACCGCATCACCGCACCCACCAGAATAGACCTGTATATAATATATATATATATTTATTATAATTTATATATGTATATGTATATGTATATATATATATATATATAATGTTGCCCCCTCATTTAAAGACGGGACCCCCCAAAAATAAAATTCTGGCTACGCCCCTGCTCCCATGTCCTCCAGTAAAATATAAAACAAAAAAATGACAATAGCCAATTCTGGCTCCATAGCTGTTTACTCAATTTTATCAAATGAATGATCAGGATGGCAGCTGTACTCTCGCACTGTTGCTTGGCGCCTGGAGCGGTAATCGGGAACACCTGGTTGCGCAATTAGGAAATCCCACGAAGGCTACATGGTGCGTCCTTCGAAGGACGGATAGGCTGCATCCTTCGAAGTCCGCGGCCTTCACATTGGGACACAGCTCATTTCATTCCCTTCTCAGCGAACAAAGAGACGTTACGTCATGACGAAGCACCAATCAGGATTGGACTAGTTCCACACGTGCTTCATACGCTGTTCCCCAACGTGTCGTCATTCGACGCAGAGTGAGTTTCCCCGAAAGGGAACTACGCTGCCATTCTTAATCCATATATAATATAAAATAGAATTCAGTGATATAAATAATAATGTATACCTCTTTAACGTGTAAATCTAAAATATACAGTGATGCTTTACAGTAAAATGTAAGTACACTTCAAGCAGAAGCTGATTTCCACCACAGAAAAAAAAGGGAACTGAGACCTTTAATCTTGCATTTCTGATTTTTTTCCCCGCAATTGTGAGTTTATATCTCACAATTCAGAATTGTGAGACAAAAAGCCGTAGTTACTTTTTTGATGGTGTAAACCAGCGTCCACAGCAACAGCTGTTTAACAGTCACAGTGGAAGTTGAAGCTGTCGGATGTTCCAGTGAAACACACTGGAGTGGAAAGGGTTCAGAGAGCATGAATGAGGACGCACCTGGAACGGACTCTGGCTGATGTGGTTCTTCACCTCCTTGTCGGCTCCTCTGACCAGCAGCACATGTGTGCACTTCTCCTGCAGGAGTCAAACACATTCTCAATCTCGAACACATCGCGTCTCTACAGATGATATTTCTGACCAGTTCACGAGACTCCACTTTGTTTGTATATTCCACTTTGTTTTCAAAATGATGCATGAAATAATCAGAATTTATTCTAGTAATTTTGTGTTCTGCTGTCACATTATACATGATTTGAAAAAGCTAGCACTTTTTTCACAATGCTAGCACTTTCTTATGTTCAGAAAGGTTTTGAAGGCATTTTATTTTCATCCTACCTCTGTGTAATCCTAAAACCCTTTGAGTACAAGGGTGTTTGCTTTTCCATTAGCGCCACCTACTGTCAGAAAGTGAATCTGCACTTTAATTAAGCCCATCTGCTGCTTTTGTTCAGATCAATGCAGGAACAATATAATTTAATAACAATAATTGATTTTATTGAACACAAAATATAATCATTTATAATTCTGACTCACCCCTTTTTTTTAAATAATAATAATAATGGTTTAAATGATGAAATGTGAGGTTTATCTTTTTATAAAACGTTTTATGTTCAAAACTTGTAAAGTAAATCATCATTTTTACCATCATTATACAGTTTAGGATGTTTCCATAGACATTGGAATTCGTTTAAAACCAAATTGCTACCTCAACATTTAGTTTTATTCTAATATCAGAATTTTCTGAAATGATTTCCACTGCTGATTCCAATATATCTTTAACCCTCCTAATGCATTAAAACACTGTATACACCTTTTGAATTTGAGCTTATAAAACAGTCATAACTTAGCATTTTACAAATAAAACCATATTGTATCTAATCAGCAACTTCTCATTAATGAGTGAATGCATTAAAGTTTTAAAGATTTTATTCTTACCATGCTATATTTTTAAGAACTACAGCAAAAACCAGTGTTATGCAAGAAAATAATTTTTTTGAAATGAGAAATTGTATTTAAATATATTATTAGACTTAATTGATATGAACATATAATATGTCATGAAGGTGGTTGAGACAAGGAAGAAAGCAGGATCCAAATGCAGCACACTTTAATAACTAAACTACAAACTCACAGCAGGGAATATGACTCAGGGACAGAACAACCAACATCCATGTTACAACATCAAGAACTCACAAGGACTGGACTGAAACACAGGGCTTAAATACAAGGGCAAACAAGCTAAACAAGATGACAAGGGGGCGTGGTTAATCAGGGACACCTGGGAAGACTAATAGAGATAACGGGGAGCGGGAAAACAGGGAACAGGACTGAACCAAGTGCACAAAGACAAGGGGAACACAGACAGACATCACAACAATATGAGAATTACTATAATCTCCATTGACTTCAATGGATTTAAATTCATTTGAAAGTTATAACTCATGACTGCTCAAAACAGTCAACATTTATGAAACCCACACATTCTTTTTCTAACGAAACAACATCAATATTACTCTGTAAGGTAATTGCACTTCCAAGGTAATAAACTGAATTTGCGTGTGTGCATCATTCTTCCTGACTCACAGTTATATAACAAAAGCCCACTTAAACACAGACCACAGTTCAGTAGTTTACCTGTTTAATAAGAGTGTATAATGAAATGCTGTGGGTTAGTTCACAGCTGTAAACACACACCTGGTTGTACAGAGCACAGATGTGCAGCGCCGTGTTTCCCGAGGCGTTCTGTGCGCTCATATCTGCTCCGTAAAACAACAGATGCTCGAGGTGTTGGACAAGACCGTGTCGACAAGCCTGTTAGAAAACCAACACACACACACACACACACACACACACACTTTGCTATCATCATGGTGACATTCTATAGACTGTTATTGTTTTATATACGGCTAATTATACATATTCTTGACTAATTGCAGGGTTTAATGTGTTTATGCTCTTTGTCTATTTTGTTTGTTGTGCACTTGTTCATGTTGCACACTAATATAATCTTTGCACTACAAAATATTGTTCAATAATATACACTATATTGCCAAACGTTTTGGGACGTCTGCCTTTACATGTACATGAATTTAATGACATCCCATTCTTAATCCGTAGGGTTTGATATGGAGTTGCTCCACCCTTTGCAGCTATAACAGCTTCAACTCTTCTCGGAAGGCTTTTTAGGAGTGTGTTTATGGGAATTTTTATCCATTCTTCTAGGAGTGCATTAGTGAGGTTCGGCACTGATGTTGGACGAGAAGGCCTGGCTCTCAGTCTCCGCTCTGATTCATCCCAAAGGTCTCCTATCAGGTTGAGGTCAGGACTCTGTGCAGGCCAGTCAAGTTCTTGCACAGAGAACAAAACTCGCTCATCTCGTGTTTATGGACCTGCTTTGTGCACTGGAGCGCAGTCATGTTGGAGCAGGAACATCCCCAAACTGTTCCCACAAAGTTAGGAGCATGAAATTGTCCAAAATGCATTTTGGACAATAAGAGTGAAGCATTAAGAGTTTCTTTCACTGGAACTGAGGGGCCAAGCCCTGAAAAACAACCCCACACCATAATCCCCCCTCCACCAAACTCTACATCTGGCACAATGCAGTCAGGCAAGTACCGTTCCTCCAGTAGATACATTTGGCAATATAGTGTATGTAGGCATATAATATGTGTCAATAATAACTTTAAGTTGTGATAAAACTGAGTAAATGTTGAAGTACAGTAATGAGGTATGATTGAGACTAGTGTGACGGCGGTGTATCCTGGTCCTTCTCTCTGTAATAAAGCAGTGGATGTGTGTGAACACATCACTGAACACATCGCTGGACACATCGCTAGACACATCGCTGAAGTTCACCTGGTGGATCTCATGCCATCCGTTCTCATCCTGGCAGCAGACGGAGGCGTGCTGGTTCAGCAGCAGCTCACAGCAGTCGGTGTGTGTGTCTCCGTCCGCCAGGACCGTGTGATACAGTGCCGTCAGACCACGACTGTCTCTGTAGTCCGGAGACGCGCCGAGCTCCAGCAGAGTCTGAAACAGGGAACAGGAAAAAATACACCATTCATCATTCTGCTTTCCCATCTGCTGTTTCAGTTCCCCAAATAAAGTACCTTTTGGTGACTCATTATTATTTTATAATTCAGATCAAGTTTCTTTGTATTATATTCTCTTTCATCATCTCGTGTTTGAGATCCACTTATGGGATGGACATTCGCACCTGACCTCTGCAGAAGTATCCAATTGTACAAAGTCTGGCATGACAGACAGGAGCGCGTGTCCAATGCCAGCTAAGGGACCCGCCCCTTACCAAGTGTATAAAACACCTGCACGCACTATCTTTCCTCAGTTGATATTCGCTTCTCGCGACCTCTTTGCTGTGTAGCTCAACTGTTTTGCTGACTTTACTACAGTCAAAAGGAGGAAATATCTATTTCGATCAGCCTCCGCCAGGCATGATTGTCAGAACATTGCAGTTAGGTCTGATTTATTCTTGGTTTGCAAGCCACCCACCCTCGCTACCTGGATTTTTCTCGGGCTGCCCGCCTGTGTCTGCGCTTTCACCTCTCCCATGAATCAGGTTAAGCTCTCCGCTCCTGCTAACCCGTTGGACTCGCAGTCGCGTGCATGCCCTGCCGCCTGCGGTTCACTCATCTCCGCGAGGGATACCCATCCCTTCTGCATAGCATGCATGGGGTTAAAGTACGCGGAAGACGCGCTTTCTCTACCAGAAAACTGCAGCCATTACCAAGCTCTTTCGTCGTAGGCTTAAGGTTGCCTCTACCCAAAGCACGGACGAACATTACGGCTCGGATGTTGGAGTGGGTGAAAGCGTTGCAGCTCTGGAGACCAGTCTGATGAGGGCTTATTCGAGGAAATCCTTCCCAGTATTTCTTTGCTGGACTATGAGCCGCCCGGCTCAGGCTCGGACGAGGACCCCGCTATACTCGAGGGCTCGGACAACGAGGAAACCACCCCGTCTGCCCAAGTTCCCCCGGTTAGCAGCTCGGCTGCACTGACGCACGCGGTCCTTCTCGAGGTGTGTGAGCGAGCGGCCGCTCGTCTCAGCATTGAATGGCCGGCTCTCCAGAATGCCGCCGACCAAGAGAGGGATCAATCAATCAATCTTTTATTTATAAAGCACCTTAAAAACAACACTGTTGACCAAAGTGCTGAACACAATCTATAAACAAGAACTTACAACAAAGGCACAACAAAGGAGTAATAAACAATACCAGTAAACAATAGTACAAAAACTGAAAAAGTCAACCCTCAAACTGTATTAAAAGCCAAAGAAAATAAATAAGTTTTAAGACGAGATTTAAAAACAGGAAGAGACTCAGCCGATCTGATGTCCAAAGGCAGCTCGTTCCATAGTCTCGGAGCTGCCACAGCAAACGCACGGTCACCCCTAAGTTTACGTTTCGTCTTAGGAACGACCAGCAGTGCCTGATTAGTTGACCGGAGCGAACGAGTAGGGGTGTAGGGCACAAGCAGATCAGACAGGTACTGAGGGGCCAGCCCATGCAGACATTTAAAAACAAATAAAATAATTTTAAAATCAATACGAAACTGCACAGGGAGCCAGTGGAGGGATTGGAGAACGGGTGAAATATGGCCAAACTTTCGAGTTCCAGTTAACAGTCGAGCAGCTGCATTTTGAACTAGCTGTAGTCGTGTCATAAGTGATTTGCCAAGACCACTATAAAGTGCATTACAATAATCTAGTCGAGAGGTGATAAAAGCATGGATTAATATTTCAAAATCATGTTTAGATAAAATCGGTTTTACTTTAGCTAATTGCCTTAGCTGGAAGAAACTGTTCTTTACCACTGCATTAATCTGTGCATCGAGCTTTAAACTACCGTCCAACTTGACTCCTAGATTTGTAACCACAGGGCTACTGTCACGTGTTAGACAACCCAGATCAACAGGAACTGTAGCAGCTGAGTCACTAGGAGCAAATAAAACAAACTCAGTTTTACTCTCATTTAAATACAAAAAGTTCATAGCCATCCATGCTTTCACTTCTTTCAGACACTCTAAAAAATTTTTTGACTGACTTAGCGGCACATATATTTGGCAGTCGTCAGCATAAAAATGGAACGCGACATTGTAACTTCTAAGGATTGACCCAAGAGGCAACATGTATATTGAAAAAAGTAGCGGCCCAAGGACAGACCCTTGGGGAACTCCGCACAACAAAGGAACCGAAGAGGACATAGCATCATTAACCTGAACTGAAAAACTTCTGCCGTCCAAATAGGACGTAATCCAGGCTAAGGCCGACCCCTTAATGCCCACATAATTCTCCAGCCGAGACAACAAAATTCTGTGGTCAACCGTATCAAACGCGGCCGTAAGGTCCAATAGCAGCAGAGCAACGGTGTCACCAGAGTCTGAGGCCAAAAGTATGTCATTTAAAACCCTCAGCAGAGCTGTCTCAGTGCTGTGGGCTGACTTAAACCCAGACTGGAAAATTTCAGTAATACCATTGTCGTTCAAAAATGTGCTTAACTGCAAATAGACAACTTTCTCCATAATTTTGGAAAGCAAAGGGAGCTTAGAGATAGGCCGATAATTTGACAGCTGTAGTTGGTCCAGACCAGGTTTCTTTAACAAGGGTTGAACAACCGCATGCTTAAAACTCATAGGTACGACTCCAGTAATTAAACTGACATTAACAATATCGAGAATACAGTGCGCCACTGTAGGAAAAACCTCTTTAAAAAGACGAGGAGGAATCACATCATTGGGGGAGCCGGTGATTTTCATTTTACCAATAATGTTTTCTAAAAAAGGCAAGCTAACAGGCTCAAACTGGTTCAAAACAGCAGCACAGGTTACAGAAATGCCAGGGTCATTCAAAGGTGGACCAATAAGGGCCCTAATACTCTCCACCTTGTGGATAAAAAAGTGAAGAAACTCATCACACATTTTTGATGGATTTTCCAAATACTGAATTTGTGGAACATTAAAAACAGGTTTGAGGGTATTAAAAAGAACTCTAGGATTGTGACCATTTAAAGAAATAATTTGAGAAAAATGCTTGGTCTTTTCAGCTTTTACAATTTTTTGATAAGAACACCAACTCTCTCTAAGTATCTGATGTGTACGACGGCAAACTCCGAGGCCCCCCACCCGGTCCTTGGAAACAGCTCATGCCTGTCCTCCCCGCGTGCGCCGATTGGACACAAGTTAGACTGCGCCACTGGAGGAATGCTGAGTTTTATGCATGTCCCGGGCAAACTGAACAGGGGCACAGACCTCTTGTCAAGGGGAAACACTCTCTACGGGGACTGGGGCGACCATCCTCAGATAGTGGGTCTACTGTGGAGGAGGTTCGGCCAGGCAACCGTAGATCTCTTCGCCTCGTGCGAAAACGCCCATTGTCCTGTGTTCTTCTCAATACGGGAGGAGGATGCCCCCCTCAGTGTGGACGCACTGGCCCATCCGTGGCCCAACGTGCTGCTCTACGCTTTCCCTCCCCTTTGCCTCATAACGCCAACTCTGGCCAGGTTGAGGGAACAGAGCTTGACCATGATTTTGAAAGCTCCCAGGTGGCCCAAGGCACCGTGGCTCTCAGAGATTATCCCTCTGCTGTATGCCCAGCCGTGGCCCCTCCCATTACGCACAGACCTTCTGTCCCTCCCAAGCGAACGGGGACATTTACCACCCGCACCCAGATAGGCCCGTGAGAGGGTCAACTTAAACACATTGGGGCTCCCCCCACATGTTATTGCCACCATTCAGAGTGCCAGAGCCTCTTCTACACGGTCCCTATGCGATTGTAAGTGGCGAGTGTTCAAAGAGTGCATGTATTCATGAATGCAAGTTACCACATGTTATTCTTTGTTTGTTGCTAGTGTGGCACCCTCACTTTGCGTGGTTTGTTACTTTGTGACGTGTCATGCACAGCCGTTCTAGGTGACCATCCTCTGTCTTTCAGGGCCTCATTGTGGTGTATTGGGCAATTGGGGAGCTGTCCATATCTACCATAGGTGGATCTCAAACACGAGATGATGAAAGAGAACAATAGGTTACTGTTCGTAACCCCGGTTGTCTGAAACATCGAGTGGAGAGATCCACCAAGCTTGCCCCGCTTGCTGCATGAGAAGCGAATATGCTCACTGAGGAAAGATAGCGCGTACAGGCGTTTTACACACTTGGTAAGGGGCTGGCATTGGACACGCACTTCTGTCTGTCATGCCATATAATAAAAAAATGTAAGATAAAATAGACTGTATAATATTTAGCTGGTTTTCTAAAGGGCAAGTACTTGCTTTCACTGATCATATGCTTAAATGCCAGCAAAAATAGATAAAATAGAAGTTGTTAGAACCTTATAAATAATGCAAAATTTGTGGGTTAATAAGATGGATGATTATAATGAATGTTGTATACCTTGAGCGCTGGCTGGTTTTTAGCGCGAGCAGCTTTATGAAGAGCCGTCATGCCATCTTTATCCCTGAAGTCCAGATGAGCTCCTCCATTCCTCAGAGCTTTAATAAACTCCAGCTTATTCTCCAGCTGCGCCACACAGGTGAGTGGAGTCTCTACGACACACTCACACATAGAGACACACACATACACATACACACACACGCACACACACACACACACACACACACACACAGACATACAGACACACAAACAACACCAACACACAGACAGACATACATACATACAGACACATGGTCAGGTACGGTGAATGAGTTGGATGGTCAGGTACGGTGAATGAGTCGGATGGGCAGGTACGGTGAATGTGTCGGATGGGCAGGTACGGTGAATGTGTCGGATGGGCAGGTACGGTGAATGAGTCGGATGGTCAGGTACGGTGAATGAGTCGGATGGTCAGGTACGGTGAATGAGTCGGATGGTCAGGTACGGTGAATGAGTCGGATGGTCAGGTACGGTGAATGAGTCGGATGGTCAGGTACGGTGAATGAGTCGGATGGTCAGGTACGGTGAATGAGTCGGATGGTCAGGTACGGTGAATGAGTCGGATGGTCAGGTACGGTACGGTGAATGAGTCGGATGGTCAGGTACGGTGAATGAGTCGGATGGTCAGGTACGTGAATGAGTCGGATGGTCAGGTACGGTGAATGTGTCGGATGGTCAGGTACGGTGAATGAGTCGGATGGTCAGGTACGGTGAATGAGTCGGATGGTCAGGTACGGTGAATGAGTCGGAAGGTCAGGTACGGTGAATGAGTCGGATGGTCAGGTACGGTGAATGAGTCGGATGGTCAGGTACGGTGAATGAGTCGGATGGTCAGGTACGGTGAATGAGTCGGATGGTCAGGTACGGTACGGTGAATGAGTCGGATGGTCAGGTACGGTGAATGAGTCGGATGGTCAGGTACGGTGAATGAGTCGGATGGTCAGGTACGGTGAATGTGTCGGATGGTCAGGTACGGTGAATGAGTCGGATGGTCAGGTACGGTGAATGAGTCGGATGGTCAGGTACGGTGAATGAGTCGGAAGGTCAGGTACGGTGAATGAGTCGGATGGTCAGGTACGGTGAATGAGTCGGATGGTCAGGTACGGTGAATGAGTCGGATGGTCAGGTACGGTGAATGAGTCGGATGGGCAGGTACGGTGAATGAGTCGGATGGTCAGGTACGGTGAATGAGTCGGATGGTCAGGTACGGTGAATGAGTCGGATGGTCAGGTACGGTGAATGAGTCGGATGGTCAGGTACGGTGAATGAGTCGGATGGTCAGGTACGGTGAATGAGTCGGATGGTCAGGTACGGTGAATGAGTCGGATGGTCAGGTACGGTGAATGAGTCGGATGGTCAGGTACGGTGAATGAGTCGGATGGTCAGGTACGGTGAATGAGTCGGATGGTCAGGTACGGTGAATGTGTCGGATGGTCAAGTACGGTGAATGAGTCGGATGGTCAGGTACGGTGAATGAGTTGGATGGTCAGGTACGGTGAATGAGTCGGATGGTCAGGTACGGTGAATGAGTCGGATGGTCAGGTACGGTGAATGAGTCGGATGGTCAGGTACGGTGAATGAGTCGGATGGTCAGGTACGGTGAATGAGTCGGATGGTCAGGTACGGTGATCTCAGACTCGTGTGTTTCTGCTCCTCCAGTACCTCCGGTCTCTGTGTCCTGGTAGTTTGGGTCCAGTCCTCTGTCTAGCATTCTGGAGAACTTCTCTAACTCATGATTCTGGATGTAATCCATGAACTTCCTCAAGCTGGCCTGGAGAGAGACAATAAGACAAAAAATAAAGCCATTAGATACATTAATGCTTGCAGAGATGCATCAACAGCTCATATCAGATACATTACTTAAAGTAAGAGTTTATCATGACTTTAATCAGTCTGATGTACGATGACGCTGGATCTTATGCATCTTTGCTCTCACCTTCGTGTGAAGTCTGGCAATCTGCTTCTCATCCACACTGGATTGATTGTACAGTCTGGTTTTGTAGCGAAACTGCAGGAACAAAGAAGCTTCTCAGGGTTTCATTGCAGCAATTGCATGATAGCATATATTTATAAACCCTCAGAATAAAGACATTCACGCCCTTATGGTTCCATTAAGGTGTGTGTGCTATAGTCTGAAGTGATCATGCTGTTGGAAGTTCTGCTAACGCATTTTATGATGATGATGCTAAATGTTAATTTATACATAAATTATAAAACATGTAGTTATTCATGTATGAATCCATATGACTCCAGTCGTAGTTAAAGCTAACTCCTCATTGCTTCATGATCATTTCAGTCCTTCACTAATCATTAGTTCATGTTGAAGAAAGTATTCATTCGGGTAGTATTATAAAGTAGGGCTGCACGATTAATCACAATGAAACCGCACGTGATTTGGCAAAGGCTGTGATTATTTTCTGCGCAGCTTCTCAGTGCAGAAGCTGATCGGTCGTAAATGCTCCATCTGAAGACCAGACTCTCACACACACACTCCACATATCCCTCTGAACACCAGAGGGCGTCTCACACACACACACACACACACACACACACACACACACACACACTCCACATATACCTCTGAACACCAGAGGGCGTCTCTCTCTCACACACACACACACACACACACACACTCCACATATACCTCTGAACACCAGAGGGCGTCTCTCTCTCACACACACACACACACACACACTCCACATATCCCTCTGAACACCAGAGGGCGTCTCACACACACACACACACACACACACACCACATATCCCTCTGAACACCAGAGGGCGTCTCACACACGCCCTCTGGTGTTTGGAGTTTGGAGTAAAAGCATGTTATTAAATGTCGTCTTTTGTTGGACAAGAGGTTCATAAATCCTTCTCATGTTTGGAAAGATGTTTGACGCCTGTTGCTTTTTCAAATGCACGTTATAAGGGACTCAAACTCACAGTGCTTTCAGAGTGAGCCGCGTTTACAGAGCCGATCATCACTGACAAGCTGCGCATAACTAATAATCACAGCCTTTGCAATTTCATAATCGTGATAAACCAAATCGGTTTAACTGTGATTTCATGTAAATTGCGATTAGTCGTGCAGCCCTATTATTTCACGAGTTCACACTTACAAATCTGAGTAGTATGCGTATTTGGCGTGCTGTCCGCGGAGAGGCTCAGAGCTCGGTATTTTGGCCCGAGCCCAGAGTACTCCCCCGTATTTCTGATTAGGAAAGTAACCAGGCGAGTGTGAGGAGACGGGGTGGTGGAGGGATGCTGAAAACTGTAGAGGAACATAGGCGAGTCGACTGTGTGTAAGGCCTCCTCTCATTTTGCTGATTGGGTAGACATGTTGATTACTGACTGATTGTTGACAGCTGGTTGGAATGACATGATGATTGGAATAACATGATGATTGGATAGATCATTTGAACGTGTTCCTTACGAACTTTGTTAATAAAACATCATAAAGTGTCCCCGCTCCTCTGACACCCCGCCGGCTGCTGAATCGGCCTGTACCTCCAGTGACGGGACGCCCTCGCAGGCCGGCAGTGGATGTTCCCCGATCAGACTCTCCTCATCCAGGAATTCCCCGTCTCTGCCGTCGCTGGCCGGATGGAAGAGGCCGTAGTTCAGAACATCCTTCAGATTCTGACTCAAAGTGCACAGGATCCGCCGTTTAGCAGCCCACACAGTGTCACCGGGGTTAAACCTCATGCTTTCCTGTCGAAGGACGCCGTTAAAGACACCATGAAATCAAAAGTGATTATGCTTTCTTTATGGAATATTGCAGTGTTTATTATAAATGATTTATGGGTGCACATCATTATTGTGTTAATAATCTTGAATCAGAATAACAGCGACTTCTCTTCTCTGATGACGAGGGCGGGGCAACCTGTGATGTCACAAGCAAATTGATTTGCATATGCCCGCCTCCAGAGCAAGGCATCAACGAATAGTTATACATCATCGCACCGTAGGCCCCGCCCACTGGCGTTCAGTATCTTAGCGGCTGACATTTACCTACACTTGACATGAGCGTCGCGTCAAAAACCGAACAGAAGCCATTATGATGCCTGACGCTGATACTCTAATACAGGTGTGTGTTCAGATCCTGACGGACTCTTGAGTCTGTCGATGACAGGACAAATGGAAGAGTGAAAGAACGCTCGCTTTGATCGTCCAGTTTAAACAGCTGGTTTGAGTCTCTGTCCAGACTTCAGAAGGATCCCAGTGTCAGAAACAAGTGGATGGTTTAGTTTAATGGCGTCCCGGATCGCATCAGAGGATTGTGTGCTTGTTCGGAGCATTTGACTGAGACACAGTGTAATGAAGATTTCGCAAAGAAACTTTTGTTGAAAGATGAAACCGTAAGTAAATGATTTCATATTGCTTTGTCTGTAAATGACGGCTTTATATGGATAATGTTTTCATAACACCGTTGATACAGTTTCCTATGTATTGACATTAGCCAATCATAACAGTGGGCGTTTACTGACAAGGCACACCAACACTACACATTTTCCAACTATTCCTAATCGATCACACCTGAATCAACTCATCAGATCGTTAGTAGGGACTCCAATGCTGCGTCCCAATTCGCATACTATCCGTCCTAAATAGTATTCGAAAATAGAATTAGTACGTCCCAAATCGTAGTATGTTGAAATGAGTGTCCCAGAGAGACCCGGATGGTCTACTATTTCCGGTCAGAATCCGAAGTGCAGATCGATGCGCACTCTAACGGCTGATATTGCCCACAACCCATCGCGTGTTGGACGAGGATTCGATTAGAACTACAAACACGAATGAAAAGTGTTCAAAAACTACAGACATGGAGGACGCGCGAGTCCGACGGTTATGTAGAGAGGTTTAGATAAAGGGGTTTGAGTGATTAGTTGTCAGTATCTAACCTGACGAAAATGTATTTATTCAATGTTGTCCACATTATATTGCATCTGCAGCAGCATTGTGAACTTTTGCAAAGATACATTTAGCCATTAACTTTTAAATGCATTATTATATTCAAATTCCAAACACATGAGGAGAGTCTCGGCATGAAAGACCCATGACTGGCAGATGAACGTGCGACAACAATTCTCTCCGAAATGGTAAGAAATTATATTAGATTGAATGGAGGATTTTAACTGTGACGAGATGATTGACAGGGCAGTTTATGGTGACAGATGCACGCGACAGATCTGTCCGTTAAAGATGACGAAGTAGTATGTCCCAAAGCTTGCCTACTCTTTTGCTACACACTCAAAAGTATGTACTTTTTCTTCACAAAAAGAGTACATACTTTTAGGGCGTAGTATAAGTAGGCGAATTGGGACGCAGCACAAAACCAGAAATATATGGGTCAGAAAAGGGAGACATCCAAAATGTGCACTATTGGTGTGCCTCAAGGAGCAGGGTTGGGAAACACTGTGATAGAGGGTCAGAATGAGGGATGAAAATAATAGTTTTTCCACCTATAAATTTGGTTTTGTGTGTGTATGTGCCAACTAAACTTTATTTTGGGGACAAATTTGTACCCAGAAGAGACCAAAACCTGACAAAATCTCCAAAAACCTCCATTTAGGAACGTCCTCATTTGTAAATCTGGTATAAAAATAAAGTAATTAAAGTTTTTTTTTTTAAATGTAAAAATGCAGAAAGTTTTTTATGATGGGTAGGTTTAGGGTCGGGTTAGTGTGTGTGTGTGTGTGTGTGTGTTGTGTGTGTGGGTGATGGGTAGGTTTAGGGTCGGGTTAGTGTGTGTGTGTGTGTGTGTGTTGTGTGTGTGGGTGATGGGTAGGTTTAGGGTCGGGTTAGTGTGTGTGTGTGTGTGTGTGTTGTGTGTGTGGGTGATGGGTAGGTTTAGGGTCGGGTTAGTGTAAGGAGAGAGAATATACACTTTGTACAGTATAAAAACAATTACATCTATGGAATGTCCTCACAGCTAAAAAATGTCATGACCCCTTTAAGAAAGATTTGATCCATATGACATTCAAAATGTTTGATCACTCAACCCTCATGTTTTACTCATTCACTCAAGGAAATATTCATCACATATATAAACCCCAATGAGAGCCGTGAAGATCAACAAACACACACACACACACACACACACACACACACACACACACACACACACACACACTCACCGTTTGCTGCAGGTCTGGGATGAACACCCTCACGGTGAGCGAGTTGTTCTGGGTGTCTGTCGTGAGACTGTCGGGTCGTTCTGCTCGTACGGTCTCATAGACGGCCTCCTCTCGGGAACTGTGTGAGCTGGAGTCCTGAGAAGAGTCTGAGAAACTCTGGGCCATCTCTTCCTCGCTGGACGTCGGGCTCCTCGGCATATTCAGCTGACACACACACACACACACACACACACACACACACACACACACACACAAACACACACACACACACACACACCAGCAACAGCGTTTGAGATATCCCTGATTCTCAGTGCTTGTTGCCAGTCAATAAAAAAGCACCATCTACAGAAACATTTTTATGAAATTGAAATTGTGTGTAATGCATAACAGTGACTGTTTTTTAGGGGCGGGAGTGGCATATTTTGAGTTTGGCTATTTGGGCTTGTTTACAGTTTTTTTTTTCAACTGCTTACACACAAAATTGAGTGTTTGACACTCAAACACCAGAACCACACACCAAATCTGCAAAACCATACACTAATTCTCGGCCTTCGACTCAGTTTTCAATTTCATAAAACATTTTTTGCAAACCACAACACACAATTCTCTATGTAACACAACACATCTAACAGGAAGTCTCTAGTCCTTGTCCACTTATGCTGAGTGTGGACTGCAAAGTTTTCTTTTCTGTGCTTGCAAGAAGGTTGACCAGCTATATGATGCAGAATAATTACATCAATACTTCCATCCAGAAAGGCGGTATCCCAGGCTTTTCAGGCTGTCTGGAACACACATCAATGATCAGCCAGTTGATCCGAGAGGCCAAACAGAAGAAAGGCGATCTAACAGTGGTCGGGTTAGATCAAGCGAATGCCTATGGATCTATCCCACGCGATCTCATCCAGCTCGGACTTGACCATTACCACATCCCAGTTGCTATTCAAGAAGTGTTCACTAGCTATCTAGGAGGGATCAAACTGAGATTTACATCATCCCAGTGGACAACCAATTGGCAGGATCTCCAGAAGGGAATCCCGACGGGATGCACCATCTCCCCAATCCTCTTTATCATGGGCATGAACCTTCTAATAACACAAGCGGAAGGCATAACCCCGTCCTGGACAACGTAGCCACTTGGGTAAGGTTGTCATTCAAGGCCAGGAAGTCCAGAAGGCTGGGGATCAGGAAGGGCAGAGACACGAGTAAGTTTGGACTCCAAGTTCAAGGCGAGGTTGTTCCCTCCATTGAGGACAGACCCATAAAGTGCTTGGGAAAGTGGTTCAATGCATCACTGAAAGATGGTGGCAATGTTGCAGACGCTGTGAAGCAAACCGAAGAATGGTTGAAGAAGATCGACAGGTCCGGACTCCCAGGAAAATGTAAAACCTGGCTGTACCAGCACGGCCTTCTGCCTAGGCTTATTCGGCTCCTCATAGTCTATGAGTTCCCCAAAACAGTTGTAGAAGGCATCGAGGGGAAAACCAACAAGCACCTGTGGAGACGGTTGGGGATGCCCTCAAGCTTCTCTCCGGTGGGCCTCGATCCCTTCAGCTGCAGCTCCCTCTGTCTTCTTTCCTTGAGGAGTTCAATGAGGCAAAATGCAGTTTTGTCTGAGAGATTCCAAATTCTTTCAATCTTGTACAGAAACTGGAGCTCATGAAAGAAGAGCTTTAGGTTTTGAATAACTGTGTGTGTAAATGATATACAAAAATATAATATTAAGGCAAATGTTTGCTTTTGAGATGTGTCTGTCTGCATCTTGTGTTTGCATTCTGAGTGTGCAATTCTTGGATTTGTGTGTAAAGTTTTGAAAAAAAAAGAGGCAAAGTTTTGAGAATGTGTGTAAGCAGTTGAAAAAACCCTGTAATTGGTCATTGGGCTAGTTTTGATTGTTTTTTGTTATGCAGATCTGGCAACCCTGGTCTCTTCCACGCAGTTTCTGCTAAAGGTTGCAGAATATAGGACACGGCACAGTGGAGCGCTTCCAAATAAAGAGTTTCTAATTGGAGCTGTGCAGCAGATCTTCTGTACTCTTTCTCATGTAGTCCATTCATCTCACACACACACACACACACACACAGACACACACACACACACACAGACACAGACACACACACACACACACACACACACACACACACACACACAGATGCAGATAGCACAGAAGTCATAGTCATAGAGTTCAAGAGCTGAACACATGTGATGTGCTGTCCGTAACTGAACGCTTGATCTTGGATTGAGATGCCTTGTGAAGGAAGCAATGCATACAACTATAGTCTATAGGCCATAAACTATACATATAAACATGCAGGCTGGAGGAAGATGAGGAGGATCAGATGTTGTAATGATAATAATAAGCTCCTCCTGAACTTGATACACACCCATGTGCTATTTCGAAGAGGTAAGAAAAACTCTAGTAAAGAGTGTCAACCATTGTAAACACGTCCTGATCTGTCAAATACATCTCTGGCACAAATACTGTTGCAATTATCCACGTTAGGCAATCAATTATTATCAGCCAAGAATGTTTCAACTATCGATCACAATTCAGGTTGTATTTTTTATCATTAGGTAAAACATTAACAATGAACCACATTAATTGCAATGATGAAAAACAGTTATTCAGTTTACCTGAAAATCTTCAATGCTCCTTTCCGTGTGTGTGTTTTAAGCCACAGAAAGCCCTGAAGAGGAGAAGACGCTCTTCATCAGCCACCGATTCCAGAGTGAGTCCTAATAAATCCTGTATGTCACTCAAATCACTTGAACAGAGCATCTGACCAATGCTTTCCTCCAGCGTTCGGTAGAAGAGGCTCATGCGAAGGTCTCTGAACATCCGTGATGAGTGAGAAGTAGGTGAGATCCTATTCAAATAAATGAAAACCAGAGTTGCTCCCATTGAGTTCGGCCCCTGGTGACGCGGCGCTGCGGATCATCCTGAGGTGAGTGTGTGTAGGTTATTTCAATAACAATAACAGCCACGTCTAAGACTTAAAGGGGAAGCATTTGTGAGAATGAGCAACTCCTGACATGCGGTTACTGCCAGATATATTTCTCATAAAACAGGTGCACAGAAAATCATTTCAGGCCTGAAGTCACACACACAGATTCTGCCAATATCCTGAAGCTCTGAAATCTGGCTTTCACGTCATTACCCATAACATAATCGAGCTGATGTTGCAATGATATTTCTCAATATACATTCTGTGTGTTAAGTTATTAATGATTTTACAAAAAGATTTTTATAGTTCAAAACACAGTCCCTTCTAAAGTGGTTAATGCAACACAGACTTCTTCAAAACTGGACGGAGGAGGTTCTTGAACGCAAGATTACAATGTTGGGAAACTCATAAATCAGCATTTCCTAAGGCTGGTGATGTGGACGAGGACACTCTCTAGCCCGAGACAGAGCTGATTTAAACTGGGACATTATTCAGGTCACTCACTGCGAAGGGTTGAAGCAGAAGAACAGGAGTGACAGGACAGTCGCAGTGAAGGCAATAACCCACTGATAGACCAATCTCTACAACTCATCCACACACGGGACATTAATATCTGGAGAGGTGAAGAGCAAACAGGGAACGTTCTCTTAAACTTATGAACAAATGCACAAGAAAGGAGTATTTGAATGTGTAGGTATAGACGTGCTCCCATCATTCTTGGATAGGCTCTTACAAAACAAACACTCCTTCGTGACCGAACATGAGCAAACTACAGTGAAATACAGGCGTTATTTGACATCATCAACACAAGACCAAAACTTCTCATCACACATCATACAAGTCATTTCTCTAGCAGGAACTCTTCGCCAATAGTGTGATGATGATTAGCCTGCCTCCTTCAGAAAACTACTCTGGCACTACTTTTTTATTGCTTTTGCTTCTTTTTCAAAACACGTTCAATTTCAATGAAACGCCAGTATGTGGCGATGTGCACTAATAATGTAAATAGCCATTAAACAAAAGAAGATGCCTTGACAATAACTAGTGCATGACGTCACAACAGCGGTAGAATATAGCTGAATAAATAATCATATTCATATCGCACGTCAGCGTGTCCGTGATAATGACGTCACCAGACTGCTAAGCAAACTCTAAACTAGTGCAAATGCTTCCTTTAAAGCTCCGTTTAAATGTTTACAGCTCGAGTTAAAGCAAACCGCAGAAGTGAGATCTCAACAAACAAGTTATCAAACATTTCTCCAGCACGCATGAACTTGATCTCCATGTGTAAGAGTGTTTTGATCATAAACGCTCGTCATCGGATCAATTTACCTCGAGTTTAAAAAGCAGGAAATCAGAGTCTCAGTTTCTTACTTTTCAAGATAAAAACGTTCAGGCTGAAAGTTTGCAACCAAACGCAAGAGGGCAGCAGAGCATCATCACGAGTCACGACAAATGAACTCTGAACTCCAAACTTCACAACTCGATTTCAAATGTAAATACCTGGGAGAAATAGGCCTATATACTGTAAAAGTAACTCAAAATATATATTCCACTCATAAAAAGTGCTTTTATGAATATGGTACTTGTCTAAGACCAATATGAGGTCTTTATCCATATTCTGAAAAAATAAATCACGTCTAAAAGTAGTCTACAAGCAAAATTGAGGTTCACATAAAACTGAATAAATTGAAGAATTTGTTTTTACAGTAATTCATACTGATAATTCTGATCGGTCTTTGTTTCAACATGTTACAACATCTAAAAACTGAGCTGGAATATATTTGAGAAAAATAATCAGTTATTGATCAGTTTGTCAGGGAAGAAGATCCAGCCGTGAAACTGCTAGGGCCCTATTTTAACGATCTGAAACGCAAGTGTCAAAGCGCAAAGCGCAAGTAACTTTGTGGGCGGATCTCGGCGCTGTTGCTATTTTCCCGGCGGGATAAATGCCTCTTGCAATAGTAACCGACTGCAGAACCGCAGAACCATACGTCATAGCAGTGTGAGGACGACAGCGCCAGCCTGACAGTCTGATGCCGGAAGTGGGCGTGGCCAGGCATTGCGCTACTTCTGTGTTTTAGAACGTTTAAAACAATGCTATTATGAATATATTTTTTAACGATTTCATTCAAAATATATATTTAAGAGATAGGTATATATATATATATATATATATATATATATATATATATATATATATATATATATATATGTATAATATTATAAAATATTATATATATATATATATATATATATATATATATAATATTATAAAATATAATATTTATAAAATTATAAAGTATAATAACTATGTTTTATCCTATTAACAAAAGACAGGCAATGTAGCCTATTAACAAATGTTAGTAGTGTTTTTTAAGTTAAAATGATACTTTATGCATCTGTTTTGTGTCAAATGATTAACAATATAAATTGAACAAAGTTTAAAACAAACAAAATAATAAAACGAAAACAAAGCTTGAGCATTTGAACATTTGATTTAATTGAAAAGCATTTTTTAAATAAAATGTGTTTTCCCCCCTCTGAAATAGCAAAAGCATCACACACTAGCTGTACCTGCTCCAAATAAATAATAGTAATTAAATCAAAATATAAAATCAAAATAAATAAAATAAATAAATTATATAAAACAAAATCAAACCAAAGAAAATAAATCTTATTAAAGTTATGCAGGCACACATTTAACAATAATTCTCAAGTGACAAATAAACTAAATAGATCAAAACTCCATACACATGGAGTTAATCCTGATGATTCCTGAGGCGCCTTTCGTCATGACACTCGCTTTTATTTTCTTTGGTTTGATTTTGTTTTTTATAATTTATTTTATTTAGTTCGATTTGTTATTTTTATTTAATTACTATTATTTAGCTATTTAGAGCAGGTACATCTGTGCGTGATGCTTTTGCCATTTCAGAGGAAAAAATAATTTGTATTTAATTAATAATTTTTGTTTCAGTCCACCATATAATTATGTTGTTTGGTCTATGAAAAAAAAATGTTAGTTGTGAAATGGTTGAGTATTAACAAAATAGTTTTTTAAAAGTTAAAATTATACTTTATCCATTTGTTGTGTCAAATGATTAACAATATAAATTGAATAAAGCTTTAAACAAAAATAATAATAAAATTAAAACAAAGCTTGAACATTTGATTGAATTGAAAAGCATTTTTAATAGTAGTATATTGTCTTTTGTTAATAGGACAAATAATTATTATATTTTATAATATTTGATATATATATATATATACAGGTGAAACTCGAAAAATTCGAATATCGTGCAAAAGTTATCATTTTGATAATTATGGCTTACAGATTATGAAAACCCCAAATTTAAAATCTCAGAAAATTAGAATATTACATGAAATCAATACAAAAAAGGATTTTAAATACAGAAATGTCGGCCCTCTGAAAAGTATAATCATGCATATGTATATAGTTATATATACTAAATATATTAGTTTCACCTTTTAATTTGAATAACTGAATTACATGAACTTTTGCACAATATTCTAATTTTTCGAGTTTCACCTGTATATAATACACACAACTATATATATATATATATATATATATATATATATACACATCTTAAACATATCTTTAATTAAATCGTTTAAACAAATATTTATAATAGCATTGTTTTAAACTTTGAAACGTTCTAAAACACAGAAGTAGCGCAATGCCTGGCCACGCCCACTTCCGGCATCAGACTGTCAGGCTGGCGCTGTCGTCCTCACACTGCTATGACGTATGGTTCTGCGGTTCTGCAGTCGGACCTATCTCGCCTCTTGCGCCTGGCGCAAATCTAAAAGGGGTTGTCTGAAGTAGCTTCATTATTCATAGGTGTGGTTTGGGCGTAACGTGAAATAAACCAATCAGAGCGTCATCTCACATTCCCTTTAAGAGCAGGCGCGCTTGTTCTAAAGCGGATTCCTATTATAACGGCGGATTTGCCAGGCGCGCACCGGGAGCGGTTTACAGCCGAGGAGAGCAACGTTCTCGTCAGGGCCGTAAAACACAGAGAAGTGACATTGGGGATGGAGAAACCCACCCAAATTAACTTCTGTTAAACAGGCGTATGATAATTTGGGTAAATGTGTAAGCTACATGTATGCTTTTATAATAAATTGTCTATCTATCTATCTATCTATCTATCTATCTATCTATCTATCTATCTATCTATCTATCTATCTATCTATCTATCTATCTATCTATCTATCTATCTATCGTAATAATGTATGATTTGCAAAAATGAAAACTGCTGCTTAGATGAGAGAATCAAAGTGTATGCGCGTTGTGCACACGCTACATTGATTATGGCTAAGCATGCGCGCTTAAAATAGCATAATGAACAACGCGCAACGCGCCACTGACTTTAGACTAGGTTTTGTCTGGTCAGTGGCGCAATTGTTTTATAGAACAGCAAAATAGCATGAGGGAAAGTTTGCGCCGGAACACGCCTCCTCTTTGCGCTGGACCGCCCCGGGGAGCGCAAGTGTATTTCTTAGTTAACCGACGTGCGTCTGTGGAGGAAAAAGCCCGCTTTGCGCGGGTGCAAAACAAGAATGATACATGCGTCAGTGTACTAAGTCATTTGCGCCGAGTGCAAGATAGGGCCCATACTGTTGCTCTTGGTTTTGTTTGAATACTCTGATAATACTCTGATAATATGGTATTTAATGACCAGAGTAATTATTTTATAGCATTATAAATATATACTTGTTTCTCTGATGTAGCTTATATCTAACAGAGGAAGAGGTGAGTATTAATAGCAAGATGCTTTATTATCATTGTACACAATGGTGAAACTGGCAAAACTCAGAGAGCAA